TATGTATATATATATATATGTATATATGTATCTCTTCGTGAAGTCCAATATATCATTTTATTTTATTATAAAGCTTAAATGTGATAGAGTTCTTTTTTTCAAAAGATTTTTTCAAATTTTACAACTTATATTATGTTTCAAAATTTGACAAACAAGTAAAAGAAAGATTCGAAATTAAAAAATGTGAAAATTAAATTTTCTATTTTTCTTTCCTTCCCTTAAAAAAGTGTGTGTAAAAATATCATTGTCGTCACCTTGTCGCGATTGATTCTTTTGTTTGTTTTTCGCGCAGCCTGAGGTGTTATCAAATATTTATTTTTTAACACATCGGGGTTACGACATGTGTGTATTGATAAAATTAATAGCGCGCGTCCGTTTGTTCTCAGGAAAATCATAAAATCCATATTAAAATCATTTGTTTGTTCTAAGAACTAATTTATTGACAGACAAGAAAATAAGCCAAAGCAATCTGTATATTTAACGCGCGTCTCGTAAGTTTCAGATATAGATTCATCAATGAGTCGCGCACTGCGAGTTTCTCTTCTCTTGATCGCAAAAGTTACAGTTACGTGTCTATTATCCCGGTTCTATCGCAGTTCCCAACAAACTTGAGACCGGTGTCTCTTGTCTGGCAATGCATTGTCACATTCACACAAGGAAGTTTCGCAAATAAGCTTTTACCTTCGTTCTTGAAAAAGAAAGTGATTCAGTAGAATACGTCTATATAGTCTGTATATAGTTTACAGCAAAGTAGTATTGGTTTTTTGCGTCGGAAGAAATTCGAAAATTGTTTTTAACAAAGAATGAAGGCTCATACAGTTTTGAAACTAACCACGAAATTTAATTGGTAGCAAGAACCGATACGCTGGATGTGTTTTGCGGAATGAATATATTCATATATACAGGGTGTCCGACAATTACTTTAACATTTCTCGTAGGCAGATAGAAGGAGTAAAACTGAGTCGAAAAGTCCTGAACCATTTTTTTTCTATTACATATAATAAAAGAGTAATTATTGAATAAATCAAGCCAATCAGCGCCGACCTTTGGCCGAACGTACGTCAGTGAACCACACGTCTGGTGTGCGTGAGCGCTCCGCGCGGCTCACTGACGTGAGCCCGGCTAAAAGTCGGCGCTTGATTGGCTTGATTTATTCAATAATTACTCCTTTCTTATATGTACACCGAAAAAATTATATATTCTCATAAGTAGAAGATTTTATACTTAAAAAATCTTTTTAAAGATTTTAGATTATATTCTTCTGAAATATTAAGAATATATTCTTTATTTAAGAATATAATCTTTTTTTCGATAGTGAGATATATATGTTTTTCTATTGAGGGTTTTTGTGCACAGCGCGTCAGGAATTCGAAGAGTAGGCGCGGGGATCGGAGGGCAAGCGGGGCCGTACGATTAAACATAGGTAAAAATTAAACATAGGTAATATGTATGAGAAACTTTAAAATGTAATAAAAATAAAATTATTTAAAAAATCTTACAAAATATCGTTATTAATGCAAAAGATATATAGATTACGTATACTGATTATATATATATAAATCTAATTAGTATATATTCTATTAGAGTATATATTCTAATCAGTATATATTCTTATCAATATTACTATTTAGAGGATTTTCCTCTTAAAATAAGAAACTCTTCTTGGCGCCTATTTTGGTATAAAATATACTTAAAGTAAGTAGGATATCCTCAAAACAAGAATACAATTTTTTCGGTGTAATAGAAAAAAATGGTTCAGGACTTTTCGACTCAGTTTTACTCTTTCTACCTGCCTACGAGAGATGTTAAAGTAATTGTCGGACACCCTATATATTCATATATATTTTATGTTTTTAAAAGTGTGAGGGTTTTACACATGATTATTTGAATTGAAATTTTTCGACTCGTGAATTCATATAAGATGTTAGATTTGCATCACATATACGAGAATATCCATTTCCCTTTTCCAACGTAATTTAGAATTATATTGCAAAAAAAAAAAAAACACTTTGACCAGGAGTCGAACGTCGGAATTTCTCGTCTTTCCGTGCGATCGCTTTTCCAATTCGAAAATCGTTTATTGTCACTTTTCGATCCGCGTGTTATCGAAAGCGTTGCGTCGATATCGTTGTGTCTTTTCTCTAAGACCTGCCGCCGTTTACGCAGTTACATTGCGTCTTGCCGAGCATCGATTCGAGCATCGTTTATTTTTACGAGCGTATCGAAGAGCAGGTACAAAGCGTCGCGCCCGAGCAACTTTGAGAAATCTCACTGCTGTCGAGATGTGATTACGAGCAATGCTAGGAAAACTGATCAATATTTTGAATAAAATCTGTGTTATTGTTATCCGAAAAGTTAGTGTCACACACACACACACTAAGTTTCTTTGCTCACTCAATTACACTTTTAAGAAGAAAAGAGAGTCTCTTCGTAAATTATCTTAATCTGTCGAGTTTTACGGCCGTCACGTTCTTTGATTGGAGATATAAATTTATTCCGACTTTGGATTTCTCGAATATTAGTGACTTGTCACACTTGGCGCTCAACCTTTTGAATTATTTAATGGAAATTCCGAAAGTTTTGGATATTCTGAATGTGACAAAAGATGTGCCGCATCGTTTCGTACAACATCTCAAACGAGCGCGCGGAAATTGATTACTTTTCACGACGTTTTTTCCACACAGCTTGAATTATTACGACCGTCTTCAAGATAATAAAATCTACGTGATAACGTAGGTTTTTTTACGCTAAATGGTTATATAATTTTCGTTAAATTTTGTAAAAATCGCAACGCGCGAATTATTGTCATTTTCGAAATTTCAATTAAAATAACATAAACTTCTAATGTTTTCTATTTTGTTGACCGACCGAATTGTGCTTTGTCCCGAAATTGCGATCGAAAAGAGCAAGCTTCTATGCACGTTGCATTTTAAAACCCGTGTCAATATTTGCCGCTGCATAATAGACCTGTTTGACTCAGCTCGGCGCGCTATTTATCTGACGGTAAATAGCATTGAAAATTCATGTTTCAGACAAATAATGTTTTCCACAAAATACATAATGAGAGGGAAGTGTGCACCGAAAGACCGATGATATTTAAGCTTGCCTCTCTCGCGGGGTCTTGATTTCATTAGATATCATTAAGGGAATTTCTCCGTACTCGCGCCGTGCCGCGACCAGGAAATCACTTTAAGAGGCTTTGATCCTCCGATGCGGGTTGTTAACGGCGTGTTTGTGTTCGTAACCGAGTTAAACGAGTCTCCGGCTCTAGAAACAAGAGTTCGTGAAAACGATCGCCTCCCTCGAGCCACTTTCTTGTGGCGAAACTTCGGCAATTTCACAAAGTCTTCTCGCCGCGAATAATTAATGAGTGTACAGAGCGCTTTCTTTTATCATAAGCTCCGCCGATTACTCCTTCATTATCAATCGTGCGAATAAATCGCTCCTTCAGCGCCTTGTTCCGTCAAGCGAAGAACAATGAAATTTCCTTAATGAAGACTAAAAGTAAAATTTCTTTGATTTGTGACGCAGATATTTGAACGCAAAAGAAATAGAGAGAGAGAGAGAGAGAGAGAGAGAGAAGAGAATCAAAGAACATATATGACGATTACTAAATATTAATAAATATAACAAGTTAGCGTTTGACATTTGTTCTCTTCTAAAAGATTCTAAAAGAAAGAAACTTGTCAATGACAATAGCAATAATACCTATTGTTGCTACACTGAGAAAAAAAAGTTGGTGAAGTAACAAAATAGTATTCGATTCACCTATATGCAGCGGTCACGGGCTGTCAATGAAATATTGATTAATGTAAGAAGATATCATATTTCAA